CATCGCTTCATTGGGATGCATCCTTCATCCTTGGTTGGAATAGAATCCCATCAAAAGTGTGCCTTCAAATCACCTGTTGGCTTATGGTGAGGTGACCCTATGAATTTCATAGCTTTTCTTGGCTAAGGGATACTTAAAAGTGGTTTTGCTAGTTCCTTCCTCTGAAATACAGCCTACAGCACCTGGGATTCATTGTTGGCTTCCCATCGAAGTACGAAACAGAGATGACCATGCTTAGCTTCCAATATCAGATGGGATCTGGTGCTTTCAAAGATTTAGGCATTATTACATGTGAGTGTGTGCCTTCAAGCCACCTACTGGTTTATGGCGACCCCATTAATTTTATAGGGTTTTCTTAGGCAAGGAATCCTCCGAGGTGGTTTTGATGGTTCATTCCTTTGAAAAATAGCCTATAGCACCTTGGATTCACTGGTGGCTTCCCACCAAAGTACTAACCAGGGATGCTTAGTTTCCAAAATCAGATAGGATCTCGTGCCTTCAGGGATTTAGACCTTATTGTATGTGTGTGTCTTCAAGTCACCTGTGAGCTTATGGTGACCCCATTCATTTTATAGGGTTTTTTAAGGCAAGGAATCCTTAGAAGTAGTTTTGCCAGTTCCAAGCTCTGAAATGGAGTCTATAACACCTCTTCTCACCTTCTTCTCAACCCCTAGAAGAGTGGTTCTCAGCCTTTTTAAATCCAGACATTTGGAACTGCAACTCCCAGAATTTCTGACCCTTGATCATATTGGCTGGGACTTCTGGGAGCTGAAGTCCAAAACATCTGGAGGAGCAAAGTTTAAGAACCAGTATCTTAAAAGAATACACAAGTTAGTGGAGCCCATTTGAGTGAGGGCAAACCAGCTGAAGACCGATGCTAAACTTTTGGAATTGTTAGAATGGATGTTTGCAGACTATTTCTAGAGTCTCATTCTCCTTAGCAAAGAAAATTAACAGGGAGGGGTGAGACAAAAAAAGAAAGAAAATATGTATTATCATAATTGCAGTTTTAAAAAACAACATTTGTTATCACATCGGTCTAAAGCAAAATATTAAATCTCTTCCTCCTCCTCCTCCTCTTCCTCTTTTTTTTTTTTTTACATTTTTATAAGAAAAGCATATATATCTCATATCATATGCTGGCATATCATGACAAATTGCAACACCAGCCACATTTAATTAGAACATGAATATTGCATGGCAATTTGACTGGGTGGATCAACATTTCAAAGGGAAAGCAGGGACCCTCAACAGATTGGCTTCAAGAAAACAGGATTGTGCCTAATGAGATAATTAGGACCGCTCCAGACTTTGAAAACTAGGCTGAGTTTTTGCAATGAAAGAGGCCCATTTCACTGAAAAAGGAAAGTGAAGTGCTGG